AGATAAAATATCTTTGATTTGGCTGTTCTAGTATACTAAATGTTCTCACAATGTTGTCTTTTGCAGACGAAAAATATTATGGTTTCCTCTTGTTCCCGAACCAAGGAAGCCAGCCAATCTAAGTACATATCGATATTGAACATTATTCAAGGAGAAGTGGATCCTACTCAGGTATCTGAATAAAAGTTCTGATAGTTTTTGCTAAAAGGAAGATTTATATATAATTTTGGGTACGCGAACTTCAGCAATGATGTCATTTTGCATAATTTGGCATTTCGATATCTTTTGTATACATCTGTTGCATTTTGATTATTATTTTTTCTTTTTAGCAACATAAACCAATATGATAAGGCGAATGAAATATGGTAGCTTTTACCAACATATAATGTTGCTGAACTCTTTGTTTTACTGAATTTTTAATTTCAAACAAGGTTCATGAAAGTCTACAGAGAATACGCGAGAGGAAACTTGTCAATTTTATTGAATGGGGTCCTGCTAGCATACAGGCATGTTTCACAATTATTTATTGGTTAGACTTTGATGCTTTATTGTGCCTGTTATGTATTAAGTAGTGAAACTATCTCGTTATTTTGATAGGTTGCTTTGTCTAGAAAGTCTCCTTATGTTCAGACAGCCCACAGGGTAAGATTTTATTTTTTGCAGTTTCATCCTTATAATTGCATCTCACCATTATTAAAATTTGGAGTATCTTCTATGTTGAACTGGCTTAATTTCCTTTTATTGATGGCTTATTTATGAATAATCAACTCGTGTCTACTAGTATTTTTCCTGTCCTCTTCTCTTCTCTATCCTGACAATTACTTACCAGATTTGTTTTTACAGGAGCTTTATTTCTCAGTGACACGTGATAATGTATAATAAACAATAACTAAAGGAAAGGGAAAAATAAAAATAAAAATGCAGAAGTGCAAAGACAAATGCATTATCTTATTATGTTTTTTTCTTACATGGCGTGGCGAATGAAGTGAAGCATGTTGAAATACCTACCTATTAAATTGCTTTCTTGACTTCCTCTTTCAACTGATTATTGTCTTGCTGATTTTTTTATAGCTCATGGTGTTGTCAGAGTGCATGTTCAAACCCCCCACCACCCTTGTTTCTATAATTATATACTAGGGGTGTCTTACCATTTATAAACATTTGGAAGACTTATATTGATGTACTCTTTATCATCTTGATAAGACCCATGGTTCAAATGTTGCTCAAGGTTGCATTTCTGACCTTGTAGGATCATATTTAGGTTAGGAGCAGAACAATTTAGTGTCATGTTTTTGCTAGAGCATATGTGGTGCTATGACATTTTCTAATGTAGGTCCCTGATAATTACTTATTTAAACAAAGTGAATTTTCTTGAGAGCAGAAACTTAATTTGTGGTTAAGGCATTAAGCCTGCTTTCTGAACCTGAGAAAACATTGCTCAGGTGAAATAATATTTTCACTTCTTAGTCTCTCCTTGTCTTTTCTAGGCCGAGTTGTGGATGTATTTATAGTTTTTTAGGTCCAATTATTAAAAAAAAAATTGCACGTGTAAATACCTCATCAAAGCATTGTGCGCATATTTGTAGGTTAGTGGTCTCATGCTAGCCAGTCACACTGGCATCCGTCACTTATTCTCCAAGTGTTTAAGCCAGTACGACAAGTTAAGAAAAAGACAAGCTTTCCTGGATAATTACAGGAATCACCCGATGTTTGCTGTGAGTTCTCTATTTCACTCAACTCTTTGTCTATGCACATACTTTGCAAGGTGTTTAATTCCTGCAGATTTTGCTTTATTACTGTTTCTAGAACTCATTTGCCTTATAAATATTTTCTTTTATATAGAAACGTGCATGTAATGAGAATTTAAGTACGTCGTAATGCATTTAACCGGGACTTGATCACAAAGTCTGTGCTCTTTTAAGTTTTCTTGCATAAAGTAATAAGGAATATGGATAAGGTCTCATTTGCTCGCAGATCTTTCCAGTTTCCATCTTATTTTATCTTTTCTTTTTGGTAAGATTACACCAGAAGTGTCATGTCACTGCATTATTGTCTCTGAGAAAGTTTACCAAAGCTTATGCTATTCAACACTACCCTTCCTCTTCAAACTATAATCATGTTAACACAAAAATTCACTAAATGCCCATTATTCCATTTGCAACCCACCTTTGGTTCCATTTGCAACCCACCTTTGGTCACACTCTTGTATTTTATATTCCAAATTACTGTTATTACGCAATTCCATTGAACTGGAAGAGAAAAGCTAAACTAATCTCTCACCAACAAATGATATCACAGACAGGACCTGAATAAATTTGCGTTTTCCTGCATTTCATAATCTTTTGTTCGTATTCTTAAATGAGACTGTAATTAAACATGTTCAGGACAATGATCTTTCTGAATTCGATGAATCACGAGACATCATTGAGAGTCTTGTCGACG